GGAAGAGGGTCAACTGGCAGCAAATGGGTCACATAGTATTTGAGAGAATGTCTAGACACTTACATAGAACCTAGTGTGGACAGACAGACTTAAAGTTCAGGTGCATGTAAGTTCCATCAACCCTGGAAGGTAGATGGTTTTATAACCATGTGACTAAAATCACAAGGAGAAAGAAGGGGAAGGGGCTGGCCAAAACAGTCCCAACTGGGTCAGTGAATATTCACAGGCTCCAGAAGAAAGGGTAACTAGCAAGGGGGACAAAGGAGTGGAGTGAGCAGGGAAGAACAAGTAGGGAATACTGTCATGAAAGAAGTAAGGGCCACCTTCATTGAATTCTGCAGAAAAGTCAAAGAGAGCAAGAACAGGAAGGTGATTTGGGGAATTGGCAACCTGGAAGTGATGTGTACTTTTGAGAGGAGTTGTTTAAAGGGAGATGCTCTACATCAGGTTTAAACCTGATGCTCTACAAGAGGAACTGAGAAGACAACAGAAGGTGAGCATGCATAGGTGGTAGAAGAGTGAAGTTCAGGGATATCCAACCTCAAATTTAAGTACTCAGATGTTTACATTCTATATGTTATGTTTATTTCACATGATGTATGGAAGCAACCAGTGTCTAGTGTAAAGACTACATTTTTCATAGCAATAGAATAAGAAACAAAGTGTGATTTTGTGAGACTGGAATTTTCCATTCCATTTACTTGTGCACTTTCAACCAAGAATGCAGTAAATTTGCTGGATGCTGTCACCATCACTGTCTCAGGTCTTGTATATATGAACTCAAGCAGAGCCATGCTATTTCTATTTCTTTGTCCTGGGTTATCCTGACTGGCAACTTTTTCTAGGGCTCTTGACATCTGGACTTTAGCTTTAGCAGAGAAATAACAAAAGTGTTTCTCCCATATCTCTAGGCCTTCCCACTCACTCCAAAACTAGAAACTATTTGGGCAAAAAGACTCGTGACCTCTGAAATCTATTTAGTGAATCAATCTTTGGAACCATGGGTGGCAGAGGGCTGTGACCACAAGCAATTGCTCTCCATCTTCCCTGGTGGGATTAGTCTGGGATTTTGTCAATTCCAGCTGCTTAGCAAAGTAATTTCCTAAATTCTGTGCAGCAATTATACGCTGAGCTCATGATTACAGAAGTGATGTGTGCCAACATGGGGGTGAAAATGGGAAGGAGGTGCTCTTTATGTTCTGATTTCTTAGCAAACTGAGTGGAAATGCAAGTACATATATATAATTTTAGCTTAAAATAGTGGAAATATTTTGGAGATATTTGAGCAGATTAACAAATCGTGTTTGTATACATGCAATTAAAACAGTAATTTATCAGGTAGAAGGCAGATGGGGGAATACAATGCCAACCTGTGTCTACAGTTGGATTTCCTTGATGATGAAGTGCTGTTTATTCAGGGCCAGCCTAGCTTGTCAGTAACAGCAGAGCCACCTCAGCACATGACTCCCTGCATAGCTAGAAGACAATAATAAATTATCTCCTATGCAAACAGCACAGGCATAAAAGTAGAACAAACAGACTGCGCCTCCCGGATGCCTGAAAATTCTCACTCATTCCCTTGTTTAATTCTATTCTAAAGATAAAACTCTTGACATTGTTCCAAAGCTGGTAAGACTGGATCTGGTTTGAGTAATTTTATAAGGGCACATGGAACATCATTATTGATGATCTCTGGGTGTTATTATAAAATATAAATATTTTGTTTGTTTAATTTGCTTAACTGCTTCATACACTTTTTTCCTTTCATCAGTATTTCATTTGATCCCGTGGAATTCAGAGTCACCTAGAGAAAACTGAGATTGTTACCTAAAGGACCTAGAGCATAAGAATTACTTGAGGAACATAATGAGAATACAGATTCCTGGATCCAGGCTCTAGTCTGGTAAATAAGAATCCCTAGCAAAGCAACCCAAAAATACACATCCGAGGGTGATTTTCATGGTGAGACTGGTATGAGGAATCAGGAGCTGAGACCTCTAACAGTGCTGAGAGCAGGAAGGACTGGTCTGCAGGAAGGGAAGCCAATGGACGAAGGCCTTCTTAAAGCAATGTTTGTGGACTTCCATGTGCATGGCATCATCCTGGGTGGGTGGAAAAGGCAGACTCAGCTCCAGCAGGTCTGGGGATGGCCAGAGACTCTTTTCCAACAAGGGATGTCATATAGTCAGGGAAGTTGGACTGAGGTCCCACAAGGTTCTAGAGCCTTCAGCATAACACAGAAGAATCCAAACAGACTGGAGTGCAGCCCCATTTCTGAACAGCAAGTGTTCTGCAAGCATGGCGGGGCATGATTCTGATTTCTTTTGAATCCTGATCTTGTGCTCCAATACAAGTAAAATGTAGCTCTCTCTCATTTGCATGGCAGCCAGGAATGTAGTGATAACTTACTATATGAGAAAATCTCCTCCATCTGGGTGTCTTCTTTCAAAAGTTTGTAAGTATATTTAGGGAGAAGATTATATACATAATACAAATATATTTGGAAAGGAAAATTGCAGGGCTCTTCACACCAAGGCCTTTTATTTCTACATGGGCGACTGATTCAGTCACTGATTTGTGCCCTTGGGATTGAATCCACACCCTCTTGCGTGCTAGGCAAGTGCTCTACCACTCACCTACACCCACAGCAGTGAATTGGTTTTTGAGAAACAGGTCCTTATAAGATTGTTGTGATGCCATTTGGATAATAAGTTAAAAGCATGAGTGCTGACAGCGTATTTTTTGGAGCACATGCTTCCAAATGTTATTGTACATGACACTGTATACTTCATTACTGAGTGTGTATGACAGACTCTTGGTATTCATCAGCAATATTTCTGGAGACCTTTGCAGATTCCCATTGTGACTCCCTCTGGCTTGTTATGGTTCATGTGTAGATGCCCCAACCAAAGCCTCATGGGGGTGGGTGGTTCAGAGGCAGCTGAATGTGGAGTCTGTGATTGATTCATGGTCTAATGCAGGGATTAAGGGTGTGGGCACTACACTCACCCTAGGGCAGGCAGCCCGCACACAATATAAGGGACAGAAGGAGGCTTGCTCCTTCCTCCTCTCTTGCTGCTTTTGCTGTCTTCTGCCACCATGAACAGCTGCCTGTCTGCCACACCACCCTGCCTTTCCTCCTTTCACTTTGGGTGTTGGAGATTTTGTCTCAGTGATGAGAGAAAAGCAAGCCATGGCCTAAAAGGGAATGATGTCTAATGGGCTAGCTGCTACGGGATAGATAGATAACAAAGACTCCTCAAAACAGAGAGCCTGTTGATCAGCAGGGGCTATGCACTTACCAAGGATCTCTTGTACAAATACCAAAGCTACCGGAAAGGCCTGGTCTAAGCCACAAATAATCATATCCACAAGCTTCAAATGTTACAGTGCGCAAACATTAACATTCCATGTGATCACGGAAGATGTCTGCAGTTGTGTGCCCTGTCCCGTTTAGCTCTTCACAGTGTCTATCTGAGAAGGGATATATGGTATTTTCATGTTCTAATCTATACATTTTATATAATTTTAATATTTTGTCAGGACCAGGCATGATACTGATTACTATAATAATCAGGAATAATCCTCTTAAAATCCTTTGACTGGATGTCATGTTTTTAATTGAGTAGTACAATAGATGGTTGATTGATTACATGTTTACTGTATATACACACATGCGCATGCAAACACACACACACACACACACACACACACACAGAGTTATAGCAACATCTGTGAGAGTCTGGTTTCAGGATCCAGCTTAAACACCAAAGTTTCTTGTAGGAAATGGTATCACATTTACATAAAACCTGTGACTACACTCCCATAGTCTTTAAAAATATGTCTAGTTGACTTATAATACCTAATACAAAGTACCTGCTGTATAAATAGCCGTTATATTTTTTAGAGAATGATGATGAGAAAAAAGTCTGTACATGCTGAGTACCGATGTAGTTTTTCTCTGAATATATGCAGCAGTAAGCTGTTGTTTGGCCTCACAGATATGTTCAACTACGGATACGGTAAGCCAACGGCACTTAAATAAGCTCTGATAGAGAACCGTGCCGCATGTGGGTTTTGTGTGCATGTCTTTCCAGTCACTTCACAAACATTTCCTGAGCATCTAAAATGCTGTGATGGGGCCAGCATGCGGCCATCACTCTTCTTCTACAAAGAAGACAATTTGTGGATAAGGTGGTTCTCTCGCTGCAGTTAATAAAATGTGCAAAAGCAGTACATTTAGAAGTCACGGGTCTGGGTACTTTCTGGAAATATTCATTTTTCTGTAGATGCCAAATATAGCAAGTAGACCTGACATCACAACCCTTAAAAAGTTCTCCTGGGGCCCTGGGAGAAAGCTCAGCAGCACAGTGCCTGCGATCTGCCGTCGGGGAATCAAGGTCCTGAAAGCAAGGTCCTGTGCTTGATTCCCAGTCCAAAAAAAAAATTTATCCTATCCTAGGCTTCTACATTAGAATAGGAGCTCCTCAATAAATTCATCTAAGCTCATTTTTATAAATTTCTTTATGGAACCAATAATCATTAGAAAACAAAATGAAATTAAAAGACAATAACTTTGTTTTACTTTTCTGATGACGGTCCTCCTAGGCCTTACAAATGGTAAGAGCAATAAATATGTTGTACAAACTATGCTTGACTAAATATTTTTAAATAAATATTTTTAAAAAGAAATGTGAAGATATTTGTTTCTTATCTCAACTGTTAGTGATGATGGCAAAGAATTCTCTTTCTCTCTCTCTCTCTCTCTCTCTCTCTCTCTCTCTTTCTCTCTCTCTCTTTTGGTCTTAGAAAATAAGTAAGTTATATTATAAGCCATAGCATGAAAGTTTTCCAACTTTCTCAAAGCAAAATGCTCCTTTCACTTGTCTCTGACAATAAATATATGTCCTGACACATCATAGGACTGAACTGATTTGTGGTACAACTCCCCATAGCTAAATGATTTGACATTAATAGCAGATTTCCTATTGTCCTTTCAGAACTGTGTGACTCACAGCAATATCACCGGTGACTTGAAAGCCTTCACAGATAAGTTCAGCTTTGATGTCCTCATCCTGTTCTCCAGCTACCTGTCAGAGGATCAGCAGCCCCGACGGCAGATCGCTGTGTACTCCCAGAACCTGGAGCTGTGCAGTCAGGTGAGCCCTTCCTCCAACTCCAGCTGGTTTCAGTGTGGCCCAATCTGCTGGCTTTTAGAATAGTTGGTGGGAGATGAGAATGGGTTTGTGGCTTGTAAGACATTTCCTCAAGAGATAAGTGTCCTTAGAATGGAGATCTAGGAAATATTGTGAGTTTGCACATTGGTCCCTTTTAAGAGGGCCTGCATTAGTTCATTTCATGTGTCTGCAATCAAAGGTCTAACAAGACACCTGAGGCTGGATGTCTTATAAAGAAAAGAGACTTATTTAGCTCACAGCTCTGCATCCAAGAGCATGGTACTAGCATTTGCTTGGCTCTGATGAGAGTCATGGCAGATAGCATCACAATAGTGGGAGCACAAGAGGTCATGTGGTGAGGCAGGAAGCAAGAGAATGAGCTGAGACCACTAAGCTTGCTTTGGGCACCTGCTCTTGTGAAGACCCATCCAGTCCCATGAGATCTTCGCTAGTCCCTTCTGAGGGTGATGTTCCTAAACTCAGTCACCTCCCATGAGGCCCCCTCCTAAAGTTCCACACTAACATCACCACATTGAGGATCCAGCTTCTGGCACAGGAGTCTCTGTAGTGCACCCTCAATCCCCGTCTAATCAATAGCACAGCGCTAATGATTTCTTTTCTAGACTAACTCCATAGAAAGCTCAGAGATTTTTCATGCAAATGGAGGCCGATCCTCCTTTAGGATAGGCTGCTTCTAGGGCTGCTTTTAGGTCATAACAAGCTATCTTCTCTGTCTCAATACCCACCAGCACCCAGGGTTTAGTAAGTGGTGACCTGATAGTTTGCTACATGTTTCCCCGTAAGCACCAGGCTTCTGATTGTGTCAGAAGTTGGAATCTTGTATTGATGTCTGAGTCTTCTAACCCAAGGCTTAGAAAACAAATTTTTAAAAAAATGAATTATATAACAGGAATCAAAATAAACCACTGGAAGCTAGGCTAGGGATATAGTTCCATGGCAGAGGGCTTGACTAGCATGTGAGAAGCTCTAGGTTTGAATCCAACATTGCAGAAACATCCACTGCACATGCCAAACTGGGATAGCTGATGCATGACCTCTTACAGGATAAACCACATGAGCACAGAGCATGTCTATCGTCATCTTTTGTCACATACTCTCCTTTCCTTCTGAGATTCTTTCTCCATCTCAGCCCCATTAGCTTATGCCTGCACACCCTCTGGGTTTCTCTGCAGCCAAAAAGAAGTTTGCAGCCAAGAAGATGCCCGGGTGCTGCCCCACATACACCTAGTCCCCCCACCACCTTGTATCACATGTGTACCACATTGTCCACCTGTGGCTTTTCAGTGCTTTCTTCACTTGCTTTCAAAACAGAATCTTATCTTTTGGTCACTGACTTCCCAGGGAGAAGGTTGAGGCTACCTGACCCTCTCCTATAGCAGTTTTTTGTTTGTTTGTTTGTTTGTTTGTTTGTTTGTTTTCTATATTTAGGGAAGGGTCTACAGAGTGTTCTGGGTCTTACTACTAGACGAGACTCATAGTGATTCTCCTGTTTACAGCCTCCCAAGTGCTAGGATTATAGGCATGCACCAACATACCTAGTCTCCATTGCCATCTCAGCATGTCCCGGAGGCAGGGCTGGCAAGGCAGTCCTGGGGATTGAACCCCTGGCACCTGCTTGCAGGTGCTTTAATCCACTAAGCTATTTGGCCAGCCCGCATATAGCAGTTTTCAAATCACCAGCAAATTCATTTTCAAACCAATTTAAAAATATCTTCACTTAAAAAATACATGAGTAGAAGGTAGATGAGAGAGGTAAAAACCCTTAAACTCCTCTCTACCCTCCCTCACCAACCCTCCCTGGCCCAGCAGTGCCACTGAGATGGCTCCAGAATCTCAAGAAATACACACAGGACCAGGCTCTGGACCCAGGGAGCCCCTCTGTCTTGTGCTTACACAACTGGTTAGGAATCTGTCTCTGCAGCTTTACCACCTGAGTTCAAAACAGTCAGTCACCTGTTAGCAGTGTGTTGTTTGACAAGTTACTCAACCTTCCTGTGTCATTTCTTCATCAATAGATTGGGAATAACAGTAGTCCCTACCCTGTACAATTACTGTGAGGATTGACAGAAATAAAAATCATAAAACTCTTAGGAAAGCATTCAATAAATATGTATCATTATTATTTTGTGTGATTCTATGACTGTTGATATCCTTTATTTTTACCTCCAGTAATCCTCTAGGATCATTTCGAAAGCCAAGTGTGGTAAAACACTCCCAATATTTGCTGAACATTAAAAGGCTGTAGCTCAGTTCTGGCCTTCCACTGACAGACTGTCACAATGTCCCTCTGCCTCCCAGGTGGCTTTGTTTATTCAGGGCTCCATATCTTGTTCCCTGGGAAGAAAGGGACAGATGGGCCCGGTGTGCTGTTGGGAAAGCTCACCTGGTAACTTTTTTCTCTCTTTCCTACTTTCTTCATTGTCTTGTGAGTCTTTCCTGCCTTCCCTTTCCTCTTTATTCTAATCTTGTCCTCATGTTCTTGTCAACATCATATTTGTTTTTGAAACTCAAGTTTCTTTTCTGCTTGGAAGATGCTATTCTGTGTACCTAGGAAAACAGTTTAAATGACTAATCTTTTCTGCCCATAATTTTCAGGATCCAGTGAAACCTGGCAGCTGTATTTTGAGTTAAATGAGAAGACAGTTTGATAGGATTGGGGGAAAAAATGGTAGATTGAGTAGGATATTTGTCTTATGATATACAGTTTTCAGTTGTTTAAGGTCTTCTTTTAAACAGATAAACACAAACTAATTTTATCTTAAGAAAGCTTTTAAAAGACAAATTGTCAAGCACAAAGGTTGCCAGAATTGACACCTGTAATCTAGCACTTTGGGAGGCTGAGGCAGGCAGGTTGCAAGTTGAAGTCCAGCCTAGTTAACTTAGTAACTTAGTGAAGCCCTGTGTCAAAATAAAAAAGGCCTGGAATATAGCTCAGAGAGGGAGAGAGAGAGAGGGAGAAAGAGGGAGAAAGAGGGAGAGAGAGAGAGAGAGAGAGACAGACAGACAGACAGACAGACAGACAGACAGTCGGACAAACAGACAGACAGTTGGACGGACAGACAGCTTGCCTGCCTAAATGCTTGGCACAAACTGTCGTTCTTCCCAACAGATTTGCTGTGAGCTGGAAGAGTGTCAGAACCCTTGCCTAGAACTGGAGCCCTTTGAGTGTGGCTGTGATGAGATCCTGGTATACCAGCAGGAGGATCCTTCTGTGACCTGGGATCAGGTGGTTCTCCTTGTCAAGGAAGTCATCAATAGGAGGTGTCCAGAGATCGCCTCCAACAGCCGGACGTCCTCCACGGAAGCTGTGGCAGGCAGTGCGCCCCTCTCCCAAGGCTCCTCTGGGATCATGGAATTGTATGGTTCTGACATTGAGCCACAGCCCAGCTCTGTGAATTTCATAGAGAATCCCCCAGATCTCAGTGATTCTAACCAGGCTCCAGTGGATGTCAACATGGACCTTGTTAGTCCAGACAGTGGCCTAGCCACCATTCGGAGCAGCCGGTCCTCTAAGGAGAGCTCTGTGTTCCTCAGTGATGATAGCCCAGTGGGAGAAGGTGCTGTGCCTCACCACAGCCTCCTTCCTGGCTTTGACTCCTACAGTCCCATCCCTGAAGGGGCAGTAGCAGAAGAGCATGCGCGGCCTGGGGAACACAGTGAGCACTTTGACCTCTTCAGCTTTGACTCAGCTGCCATGGTTTCTAGGCAGTCCCAGGCATCTTCCCATTCTGCAGACTACTCTCCAGCAGATGACTTCCCCAACAGCGATTCATCAGATGGACAGCTTCCCCCTGGGCCGAAAGGTCTTGATGAGATAGGAACCAACATGTCCAATTATTCATCCAGTTCACTTTTGTCTGAGGCTGGCAAAGATAACCTGGTAGAGTTTGATGAAGAGTTTGTTCAGAGACAAGAAAGTCTGGTTGAAAATAATGAAGAAAATTTAAGCCTGAAAGGTTTTGTGGGAGATGAATCTCCTTCACCAGAAAGGCTGAACAATGCCAGAAAGCAAATCCCACCCACGCCTATGAACAGCTTTGTGGAAAGCTCACCGTCTACTGAAGAGCCAGCCTCACTCTATCCAGAAAACACAAACCCTAAAGCAATGGACACAGATCACCTGGGGCTACCTCAGACCCAGACCCGGTGTAGCAGCTGGTGGGGTGATCTGGAAATTGACTCTAAAAATATTACAGATGAGTGGACTTCCAGTGAACAAGAATCTGTTTTTCAGAGCCCTGAATCATGGAAAGAGCATAAGTCTCACCCCACTGATAGGAGAGCTTCAGATTCTGTCTTTCAGTCAAAGAGTCTTGACTTCCCAAAGTCAGATCCCTGGGATCCTGAATTTGGTCAGCCGGAACTTGGAAGCAATGACATTGAAGATGAAAAGGAGGAAAGCTTACAGTTTGAAAACCTCCCCAATGAGAAGCTACATTTACCAAGCACTTCTCCTCAGGGGACAAACCACCTGATAGAAGACTTCACTTCTTTGTGGCAGTCCAGTCACTCTCCCACAATGATGCCTGAGCCCTGGGGAAACCCTACAGATGATGGGGAACCAGTGTCTGCCATGTCATTCCCAGCCTGGAGCGCTTTTCATAAGGAAGATAATGCTGAAGCTTTAAAAAATACCTGGAATCTTCACCCAACAAGTGGTGAAACATCTCTGAGGAACCCAAAGGAGTGGGTGATGGCCAAAAGTGGGTATTCTTTTCCTTCAGAAGACCTCCTAGACAGTTCAGCCAGTGAGGCAAATCATGAGGCAGCTCCAAAAATCTGGGGCAAAAAAAACAATGACTCTAGGGTTAATATCCTCATATCCGGAAATCCCAGTTCCAACGTGGAGCTTGCATGGAATAATTCCCTGCCACCACAGGAAGATCAAAATGGCTTTGTGAGTCCTAAAAGTAGAGGAAAGGCATATGAAAAGGTAGATTCCTGGAACCTTTTTGAGGAGAATGTTAAGAAAGGAGGGTCAGATGGCCCAGCTCCTTGGGAAGATTCCTTCTTAGCATACAAATGTTCCGATTATAGTACCTCTAATGTAGGAGAAGATTCAGTGCCTTCCCCATTAGATACCAACTACTCTACCTCTGACTCTTACACATCACCAACGTTTGCTGGAGAGGAAAAAGAAACAGAAAACAAGCCATGTACTAAAGAGGAAGTCTGTGAGTCCAAAGATGCTGACTTAACTGCAGAGGAGACAGAAGTTCCCCTGCAGTCACTACAGCAGCCTCCTAGAAGTCGAATCAGTTCAGGGCCTGGGAACCTAGACATGTGGACCTCTCCTCACACAGATGCTCATCCTGAAGGGGGCGCAGCTCGTGACCCAGATAAAGATTTACTGCAGGCAGAGTGCCTCACCACAGAGGATGGTGTGGAGGAGAGCAGCCAGTCCAGCTACGACGACCCCAGCATGATGCAGCTGTACAACGAGACAAACCGGCAGCTCACCCTTCTGCACAGCAGCACCAACTCCTGGCAGGCAGCCCCTGACAGCCTGGACGTGTGGAACAGAGTGATCCTCGAGGACACACAGTCCACTGCCACGATCTCAGACATGGATAACGACTTGGACTGGGATGACTGCAGTGGGGGGGTGGCGATCACCAGCGACGGCCAAGCAGAAGGATCCATGACCGACAGGACTGAAGTAGAAACCCGATTTTCAGTGAGGCAGCTAGAACCATGGGGCACAGAGTATCAGGATATAAATCAGGTAGATGGGGAGCTCCCTATCTCCACTGAACATGCCAAGGGTGGTGCTCCCAGAGAATATCACACATTGAATGAGAAAAATGGGCAGTTAATTGCAAACAGTATTTGGGATTCTGTCATGAGAGATAAAGAAGTGTCATCATTCAGGCTACCAGGCCCCTCATATATGACAGATTCAGAGAAAAACAATTTGCCTACTGAAAGACCCAGCCATTCAGCAAATACTATGGACAGTCCTGTCGTCGATGGGCTAAAAGCATCTGGAATCAGTAAGTCAGCAGCATGCGCACCTCATCCTGATGACCAGGACCTGTGGACAGGACTCCTGCCAACTGACACAGCACCCTTGGTGACCAGGCCTGAGAACGCAGAACATGTGGAAGGTTCAGACCCATGGATGGCTCATGGCTATAGAAATAGTGAAAGTGAACATGAAGCCCTGGCTGCCTCAAGCACAAGGTTCTTTGATAAGGAGGAAGCGATGGCCTCTGGAGATGAGAGTGCCCCAGAAACTTCTGGAAAAGGAATTGGTGACCAGGAACTCTCTTCTCCAGTTGCATCTGAATATCAAGAAATTTACACTGAATCAGGCAAAGCCAGATCTCTTCCAACCATTTGCAGTCCTCAGACAGGGGAACTAAAGAAAGTTTTGGAACATGAGGGATCTTGTAACCTAGACCCCTGTGATATGCAAACAGAGATGTCCACAAATAACCTTCAGGCAAAGGAGATTGAAAAAGAGCCCCTCATGGATTATAGAAATTCAGGGGAAACTAATGAGATCTCAAGTAAGATGAATTTAACAAAAAATGTATCTTCATCTGAGGTGGATCTTGAGAAAATGGAAGAATGTAACATTCCGGAGCCGGAAAAAATAAATGAAGGGCCACCTCATGAAACTTCCCAAAGCCTTGTGGTTTGGGTTGGCTCTGTAGACAGTGACGTGCAGGACCACTGCACAAGTTCTGAGATCACTAAGATGCTTGAAGCCAAAGGTACTGAAAACAGCCCTCCAGGAGCCATTTCACCTGGGAGTTATGAGAAAGACAGTCTTTCCAGTGACGAGTATATGCACTCAAGTGCATCGAGTCCTGATGCAAATGATTCCACAGCTGCACTGTCCTCCTGGGGCCAGCGACCCACTGCTGGGCATCAGAAAGAGAGTCATGGTGAGCAAAGTGAAGAGAATCACCAGCAGTCTCAAGTAATGACCAGTGATGGCCAAGGAGAAGTAGTCTCTGAAATGAAGAAGCTAGAGAAGTACAGGATGGATGAGTGTGAAAAGAGCTTTGATCAAAAAGTTCCTAAATTTTTAGAGATTTGGAATGATTCCATTGACGGTGATTCTTTATCCTCTCTATCAAGCCCTGAAACAGGCAAAACTTTTGACTACTCAGGTGCATATCAGGACAGAAATCTAGCAGTTAGTCATGAGAACAATAGAAATGTTGTTCTTGAAACTGTACAGCCAGAGGATGCCAAGGTCATTTCAACAAATTTGGGCTCTGATGATAGCAGTGTAGGTAATGAAGAGTCAGTAGGGAAAGAGACTTGTTTGATCCCTTGTCAAGTTACTCAGAATAAATCCGGAGCATGGGATGTATTGAATGAATCTGAATGCCTGACCATGGCAGAACCCAGTGCTGAGGAGTCTTCTGATTATGCAGATGGTGCAGAACCAGCAGAGAGTGAGAGGAAGTCACATCCACTGTATGACAGTCAAAGCAGCTCTGAGCACTGGAATTTCTCACCACTCACAGAGACTGAAATTCAGTTCACAGCAAAGGAAAGGGAGGCACGACCTTCTCCAGAAGCAGGGAAGACAAGAGATGAAATCTGGCAGATATCTCCAAAAACTGAACCAAAGAGTGAAGCTCATTCTAAACTGGAAATGCTTGGCTTCTCTGCTGAAAGCAGTGAGTGGTGGGAAACCCCTCCGCAGGAAGGGGCATCTTCTGAGAATGCATTTCAGGGGGCACTATCTAACTCAAGTGATGCATTAGCAAGGAATTCTTCAGTATATCAAAGTGTGGGCCCCTGGGGAGTACCCACTAGGGGTGACACTGAATCCAGGCAAACACACAGCACTAATCCTTTCAGAGAGGAACTCCAGCCACCCTTTCTGGTCAGTAATGAAGACAGCTCCTGTGGACAACTTTGGAACATCCAACCAAGGCAGCCAGACCCAGATGCTGACCAGTTTAGCCAGCTTGTAATATTGGACCAAGTTAAAGAAAAAGATTCCAGGGAGGAAACTTTTACATCTTCTGCTGATCACGAGCTTCCTTCTGAGACACTCACTCAAGAGCAATGTCAGGATACCATGCTAGCTGTCTGGGCTCAGCCAGACCCAGAAATTACTCACTCAGATGACAATGGGTATGTTATTGCTAACATCTCAAGTGACCATCAGGAAGCAAATTGGTGGGATCAAGAAAAATCATACCTTAGTGAAATGACACATTCAAGCACTGCCACAGAAAATTTACCCACTGTCCATACTCCTAGCCAGTTGATGAAGAAGTCAGCCTCTGAATGGAATGACTGCAATCCTAGCGAGGGCCCCCAAGGTACATTTGCCCCAGATATTTTACATGGCAACTTCCAAGAGGGTGGGCAGCTGCCCTCTGCCTCGCCTGACTTATGGATGGATGTCAAGCAACCCTACAGTCTAAAGGCAGATGGCGAGAATCCTGACATACTCACTCACTGTGACCATGACAGCATTTCTCAGGCTTCCAACAGCCCTGATATATGTCAGGACTCTGAAGCAAATGAGGAGACTGAGCAGAAGCACATCAGTGCCTGCATCAGGCCTGAAGTAGAATCCAGTGAATTTTATCTCACTGAGCCCAAGATAAATGGAGACCCAAGTCAGGAACCTGGGCAGGAATCTGGCCCGGCCAATTCAGAACTTTCTGTAGGAAATGCAATTCCTTTGCCTCCGGGTGCCAATCAATCATGTATAAATGGCTCATCTCAGCCTGCCTCTGCTATGGGTTCTCCTGAGCATTCTGAAATGAGTGACTACAACTTTACAGGCTTAGAAGCATCAAAAGAAGAACCCAGAACATACACAGCACCAGTTTTGGAACTCACAGACAAGACAATTCAAAGAGTTGAAGATGTGGGAACTCATATTTTTATAACTCACCAGGAGCCAACTATAGAAGGCAATGACTCCTGGGTACCGGAAGACCTTTCTCCCGAAAGTCACACAGGCTCAAGGGCTTTGGCTCACTGTGAGTCGCCTTTTGCTCCTGAGATGCCTGCCACTGGCGCTGATGCTTCATTCACCTCAAGTGCCTGTTTGGATGTAAGTGAAACTGCCTTTGACCACAGTTTCAGTGATGGCTCAGGTCTTAACACCTCCACGGGCACAATAGATGATGTGAGTAAGCTCACACTGTCGGAAGGCCACCCTGACACGCCACTTGATGGAGATGCTGGGAAACAAGATATCTGTTCTTCCGAAGCCTCATGGGGTGAATTTGAGTATGAAACAATAGGCCAGAACATGGATGAAGAGGCCATGAAAGAGCCTGAACATTTCCTATATGGTGCTGATCTTCCCCTGGAGGAAAATGGTCAGAAGCAATCTGTAGCACCCTACACACCTCCCTTTGACTTGTCTTACCTCACAGAAGCCCGCCACAGCGCTGAGACAACAGAGGAAGCTGGGTCTCCAGACGACTTGTCTCTGGGAAGTGAAGCAGCAGAGATGTTGCTTTCGGCTCTTCCTGATCCAAGTGAAGGAAGTCCCACGGAACATACAAGCAGAGAGCCTGGACACCAGCCGGTTGTGCTGCACATTCATGAAGACCCTGAGTCAGTTTCTCTGGCAGTAGGAGAAGCAAGCTCCAACTTTGGGTCATCTCCATCCAACATTGACTGGGAAGTGGAATCAGACAATTCTGATTCACCAGCAGATGGAGACATGGGACCACCAAATGGTAAGAAATATCCCCTCCCCTCACTCTTTAAGAAACAGCTGTTTCAGTTAAAGCAACATGATTGTAAAACATACTGTTCCTACCAATGTAGGTAAAGAGAAACCAAATTGGTAATGCACAATGACCAAGTTTTATATAACAGCAATATCATCTAGTGCTTATGATAATACCTCTGATCATACAAGAGAAAGTTGAACAGTTCTACAAAACAGAGTTGTTCTTTAAATTATCTCCTTTTACATAATTGTTTGCAAAGATGACAAATCACACAATGTGTTAATTAAATCTCGCCTCACTTTCACTATCTACTTCTAGGTGCCAACGAGGGAATTTTGGCATTAGAAGAAGAGAAAATAATCCTTGCCAAAGAGCTTAAGGAGCTAAAATCAGAATATAAAGAAGAAAGATGGGCAGGGAAAAATGAAGATCATCATGCAATACACATGGATTATATCCTTGTAGGCCATGAACAAAATCCACCCCTGAAACCAGAGGCCTGTGAAGTGGGAAAAAGCATATCCCAGTTAGAAGGATCATCCGCAGGTTCTGAAGAAACAGAACTGTCAGGAACTCAGGGATTGAGCTTCCCAGAGACAGGTCAGCCTGTCTCTTTAAATGAAGGCAAAGATCATTCTGTGGAGAGCTTGTCACCTAAAGATGACAAGAGGTTGTCTCTTGAAAGTTCTGACCAAAACCAGAGTTGGATGGTCTTGGGCTGTGGCGACGTGCGCTATCCCTCACCGGAAGCCAGGGATGCAGGGACTGGATGGGCTGACAAAACTGCGGAGCCCTTCTCCGATCCATGCATAATCCAAGGCTCCCAGATGGAAGAAATGAAGCCTCTGGAATCTTTAGCACTGGAGGAAGTCTCTGGTCTAAGCAGTCAGTCAAGGAAGATCAAGAGCCAAGGTAGAGCTGGCCCAGGCTCAGTGCTATCGCAAGGTGTCACCCATGACAATGAATGGGAAATGCTTTCACCACAACTGGCTCAGACAAACAGGATCCCTGAAAGGGAGATGGAGGAGGAGACGGAATTTCTTGAGCCAGGAACCAGAAAACCAAGACCAAATGGGTAAGCAGAGCGCTAGCTGTATTATGTTTCTTAAAAACTATTTTACTTAGAAATCAGGGAGATGGTGAAGGACTGTAGAATATGATAAATACACAGATGATAGTAGCTTTGCTTATGCATTTGTTGCAAAGCTTATCTTTAGTAAAAGCAGCTGGTAGAGAAGTATAATGAAAATGATGACTTGTGTACATTTTCAGCCATAAAAAGCCCTGTGTGCAGAGTTGGTACCTTCCTTCCTGTTTCCTCATCCCTACTACTTCAATACCTGAGTGACCTGCAGGCAGTTGGAAACAGGGTAGATTCAGCGCCTACTCTGCTCAAAGTGTTCGCATACAACATTGTCTTAATACTTAAGTCCTTAATGCTAGTAAAGCAGAGAAAGGGGGTTGGAAGGAGAAGAGACTCAGGGCTCAGAATATTTTTATAACTTCCCTAAATCTAAGTAACTAAAGGAAGGACCAGCCAAACAGCTCAGCAGATTAAAGGGTCTGCAAGCAGGGGCAAGGGCCAGAGGTTCAATCCCTGGGCATGCTGTGCCAGCCTTGCCCCTGGGGTGCACTGAGATGCCAATTGAAACTGGACTTGGTGGTGCACGCCTATAATCCCAACTCTTGGGAGGCTGTAAACAGGTAGATCACTACGAGTCTGATCTAGTTGTGGGAACTTGAACAGTCTGTAGACCCTTCCCTAAAATACAAAACAAAAACAAAAATAAAAACAAAAAAATATATAACTACAGGAAACACTTCAGGCTTCAAAGATTCCTGCCTCCTCCTTTTTGGCTGAAACACTGTCTCACCAAAAAGCTACTTTCTGGTTTTATATGAACAACTAACTTTCTGCTAGAGATAAGAGGAACCCACAGCAGGCTCAAAATCCTAATGTGAAGTATTTATCCTGTCATTAGCTGAGATGTTAGCAATCATCAGATCCATGACTCCATTACTGATTGATTGATTCATTCATTCATTCATGTGTGTTCAGAGACTATTCATGCTGTTTCTGGGTAGCCAGCAGGCATATGACAGGCAACAGGACATCACTGCTGTCTTTGAGATCTTAGGCCCTGCTGAAAATGAGATGTTTTCATGTCTCTTCATGGTCTTTATAGAGTCTACTTCTTTCCAGGGACAAGAGGGCAAATGGTAAGATGTAAATTAAGCAAAAGGGAAGATGATGGTTTCTCTTAAAAATGCAGTGGAACACAGGTATCTTTTTCCTACTCTGTTCAGGAGTGTAACGAACTATATGCACTGTATGCTGTATGTGTGTCAAGGGATGGGATTCCAGCCTGGCTCTACCCCGCTATTAGAGAGCTACTTCAGGATTAACTCCAGGCTTATGTGTCTTCATCTGTAAAATTAGTACATTGGGCTGGAATCTCTCAAGCCCTCCTTCAGATTCCATGACCTTGATTTGTACTGAAGCAGTATGCGTCCGAGATAACTCTGACATTCACAAATTATGTCCTTTGACAGTAAGAAACAAACAAAGCAGAAGGGATGGCAGAGTGTATTGAGGGCTACTGCAGTGCCATAGGAGATAAAAAGCTGCACTGTTTTCAAGAACAGCTTCGGAAAAGCAGACATTTTCAGTCGGCCTCATCTTTCAATTTCCTGTCAAGCTATTTCCTCCCAGAGACCCCAGATATATTATCAGAAGAAGAGCAACAGATGGGTCCCAGCAGCCCTTCTGGCACTGTTGTAGACTGAGCCGAGAACTCAGCAGCCATGAGCTGCCTGAGCTATTGTTTGGCTTCTTGTCTACATTTCGCACACGCTCCTGAAAACCAACAGATGACAGTCCTCCTTCAGTTGTGCCACAAGCAACTTCTCTTTCCCCACAAACATTGCTGTTACCTTTTGCATAAGTTACTCTGAATATAGATGAAGGTTTCCTTGTATGCTAATTTTGGGGAATGGGCTGGCCACATAGCTCAGCAGACTGAAGCACCTGCTTAGGCAGATGCAGACACAGGGTTCGGACCTCCAGCATGCAATGCTGGCCCCCCCCCCTCCCAGGCGTGCTGAGATGTTGAGACTAGGTGTGGTGGTGCTGGCCTGTAATCCCAATGCTTAGGAGGCTGAAAAACAGGAGGATCACTATGAGTCCAATCTACGTAGTGAGACCCTGTAGACTCTCTACTAAATACATATAAATAAGTAAATAAATTTTGAGGAATGATATAAGATTGTCCAAAACAATGGGCCAGGGAGATGGCTCAGTGGAATAAGCACTTCCCTGGCAAGCGCAAGGACCTGAGTTCAATCCCTGGTTCTGCCAAAAAAAAAGAATTTCCTGTGTAAGATTGTCCAAACCAGTGATATTCTAAGTGTGATGTCAGTACCTCTTGAGTGCTTATTAGAAATGCAAATAATCATACACACAAACACACACACACACCACCCTCCTCTAGCAACAGAAAGTCTGGGGTGTGGCCATCTCTGCAAGAGCAATTCCTCCCAGTTATTTAACATATAAACTTTAGCTTGAGAGCTACTGCTCTAAATTATACTACTGGTCATCAAAAAGTTTACTGTTTAGACACCTGTTAGACAGGTAAAAAGGTAGATAGTAGTCATGATAGTTTACGACCAACATCAATTTAAACATGAGTAGCTAACAATTATGGGCATCTGCTGGTAGACCAGCTACAAGTTACTCTATCCTACCTCATTCGACACAGGCAACAGCATGAAGTGAGATTGTACGAGGGAAAGATTGATGAGAGATGTCTACTTAGGGTAACAGCAGTGTTGGAAGGGAAAGAAAAGATACATAACAGGCAGAGTTCTCCATTTGGGCCCAGGAAAATGCACTTTCTTTCAAAGTCAAAAGAAACAGATTATTCCTACATTATATTTATCTTTGCACTACAATAATTGAAAAACTAAATTTAAAAAAAAAAATTAAGAAGGGGGAATCAAGACTGTAAGAAGACCCACAAAAAGCCCTAGTGCAGCTAAGAAGTACAAGAAGAGTTGATGTTAAAGAAGATCATAATTTGGAAAGGCAAAGAAGGGGCTAAGAAGTTACAGAAGCAATACAATAAGGCATTCAGAGAGAGGGAGGGAAGGAGAGAGAAAAAGAAAGGGAGAGAGGGAGGGAGGGAGGGAGAATTCATGTGATTATAAGGTGGGCAAGTCCAAGTGCAGACTCTGGAGGGCAGGCCAGCAGCCCAGAAACAAATGCAGGCAAGAGTCACCACTGAGTTGAGTCCAGATTCTTAGGGTGGCAAGCTGGAAACCCGCAGGATTTCCCACAATGGTCCAAAGTTCCCAAATAAGGTAATAGGAGAATAACAATGTGAAATATGTATGTTTGCAGGTCAAGTCTGAGAAGGATCCACTCTTAGGCACAGTTAGCCCCTTGCTGCATCTTGTTAAGGCCTTGTGTATTGTTATCTTCAAAGTAGTTTTGAGCAGAATTCTTTATGAAAGCTTAGACTTCTTTTTTAAGGCTTTTGGCAGACTGGGTGAGGCCTGCTTTCATTGTGGAAAGTAAATTGCTTTGTCCAGAATCTGGTAATTTTGGTGATAATCACTTCTAAAAAGGCTCTTTACAGCAACATCTAGGCTGGTATTTAGCCTGACAGTCACAGACTCACAAAGTTGGCAAATGACTTTGATGATAACCATCCCAGGTTACAGTCAAAAGCCAAAACTGTACACTAAGCAACCAACTAGCCATTAAAACTTTCATAGTTACCATCTAAGTTATATGCAATTGTAACAATGGATATGCAAATGTACTGGCTTTCTCTGGGTGAATGGTAGGAAAAAGGTATGTATGGTGGTGAAAGGAAACCACTTCTAAGAAGATGGAAAAAACTGTGGATCCTTGCTCTCTCCTCCTTTGGGGAGGATGCAGTGATAAGGGATATGGTGGGCAGTTGCTATGGTCACAGCCCCTTTGAAATAGAGTGCTGTATTTGGAAATAACCTGGCCCTCCTATTTGCTGAGATGGACTTTGTTTCCTAGCTTTGAGTTGAGTTATTCAGTACACCTAAAAAAAATGACCTGCAAACATACATATTTCACATTCTACACAATCTGCTTCTATGGTGACCTCTATGTATTTTATCTTTCTAAATTAGTAACTTTGAACTTTTTTCCTGTCCCATAGGATGTGGGGGAGGCCTCATCCTTTCCTCCATGAATGACACCATTAGATCTTTTTAAGTTTTCCATGAGAGCCTCTAAAACCAGGCTTTTTCAGTCTGTGCATTACCTTAGGGGAGTTGGTCCATTTGGTATCTCACCCTATAGATGTCAAAAATGAAAATCAGATAAGGAAATAATCCACAGACTCTTTCCTGTCACTGTTGTGTGATGGAAAGTCTGAGAAGGATCCACTCTTAGGCACAGTTAGCCCCTTGCTGCATCCTGTTGTCCTGGTAGTCTATCTTCCAGTTCCAAATAATAGCCACCCTTGCTCAGATGCAAGTTGGTATTCTATAAACTCCGTCTTTTCTTGCTTATTCACTATCATGGATTTTCCCTCAACTAAATATGGAAGATTACACTTGGCACTAGGTCTGTGTTAACTTATTTTAGAGTTGGTTGTTCAGAGCATTGTGTCATGTGAGCTGGTGGTGACAATGGCAATACTGCCTCACTGAAAGTCCTTTAAAACGAAGAGATGGCACGAGGCTGTAAATCCAACTGCTCAGAAGACTAAGGCAGGAGGAACACAGGTTTCAGGCCAGGCAACTTAGTGAAATCCTGTTTCAAAGTAAAAGTAGAAAGGGCTGGGAACGTAGCTTGGTGGTAGCATGATTGCTTCGCAAGGATGATGCCTGGGTTCAATTCCCCGTCTGAGGAAAAAAAGGCTTACTCACAAGTTAATTTCTTCCATTCTCTTTCTCTTTTCCCCTCTGCATTTCTGGCTAGCCAAGCCCAGAGCTAGTTTTCAATAAATGCTTCCAGATTAATGAATATTTTATTTTCTTTGCTTTACCTAACTGGCATTTGAGATAGACAAAAAAAAAACTTACTAT